CTCCCGGGCCTGCGGGGGCTCAGCACCACGGACAGCGCCCGTCCCCGCCGGGCTCAGCACCACGGACAGCGCCCGGCCCCGCACGGCGGCGGAGGCGGCTGCGGGCCGCGGTCCCTCCCTCCACAATGCGGCGGGGCGGGGAGGGGGCCGGGGCGCCCGCACGGACACACACACACACACACACACACACACACACACACACACTCTCTCAGGGAACCATCACTGCCACAACTCGTTGCCCTGCAGTGGCAGCAGGGGGAAGGGCAAAGAGGAGAAAAGCAATAGCGACGTGCCCAGCAGGGAGCCCGGCTAATTGCTCCTAATTACCTCGCGGCAACAGCCCCGCTGCCTGACATTTTGGGGTACACTGCTCTCACCACAAGCTAACAGCCCTGGTAACGGGCTGCAGTGACACTGAACTTCGTCACAGTGTTTTACTTTCCAAAGGTTCAAATGCTGAGGAATTTATACTCTGATTTCACAGGCCCCTTAACCCAGCTGTACCCAACAGCAGCACTTTAAGAGGGAACATGAATATTTTCACATATAAAATATGACATCAGGGCCAAACAGTAAAGAAAGTAATGAATAAGTAATAAAATAGAGAAGATGAGGCCAAAGAGCAGGAGAAGACAATTTAAAATTTCCCCCCAACTTCTATGGTTCACATTTAATTTGCTTTTGTTTGTAAAACCCATGTTTAGATTTCCTGTGGACCCTCAACTTCTATAGAAGTAAGATGAACAACAGCCAAATGGGACACAATTTAGAAAAATTAACTCTCCTGTTTAAGCCTTCCCTGCAAGAGGAATTTTGAAAAACACTTATTACCAGTGCAAATTAGAGAAAGTTGATTTGAAAAAAAAAAAAAAATTAGCATGAATGTTTGCATGTAAATTTTTCCAATATGCAATACATTTTCCAACCACATTTTCATAACCTACAGGTCATTTCATAACCCACAAACTTATTTCATTCTTTTTCACAGTCAAGCATTTTACACACATAGAATTCTCCAATTAAACCTGGAGAGGTTTAAGCCTCAAAATAAGGCCTTATTCTTAAAATACAGATACAGAAAAGCACTAGCCTGTTTAAATAATATTGCCTATATACTTCAACAAGAACTCAAGAAAGGCATCACTGTCAAAGTCAAAGTAATTATCTGATGCCAATTTTTTCTTTTCTTTTCCTTTTTTTCTTTAACTGTATAACATAATTTCTCCTTGGAAATGCCTTTCATTCATTTCTAGTATCCAATTTCTGGATACTCCTTTAATTACTCTTAACAATTTCAGCTTCTTTATTGCCATTTGTTTCTCTCTCCTGTCCTGTATTTCAGGGACCTAATTTCATTTCTCTCAGAGTGCAACCAAATTACAAATATAAACATACCTCCAGTTGCTCAGAAATGGTGTTTCCTCTATGATTATTACTTCAAAATTTTTCATTCTAACCTTTTTTCATCTATTATTATTCTTATTCACCTAAAGTCTGGGAACTAATAGGGTACCTAAGAACTCAATTAGAACAATTTCTAGTACAAGTATCCCATATGAAATACAGACAAGACTGCAGTCAGCATTATTTAGCATTCTTAAGAGAAAGGTGAAGGATATCTTGTAATCTTTAGAAAATCAGAACTGATATACAATTTGGAAAGGCTGTAAGAAAATTTACACTGGTATTTTTATGATGTATCAGTTATGTGGCCCCTAATGCTTGATTTGTGGATCTCCATTGTTCAATGGAGAGTCATCCATCATGAAAAAGAGATGCTAAGCCAATTCTCCCAAAAGAAAAATCTATTGGATATATTTCTATTACATATATCCTCAAAAGAAATTATAT